AGTGCCATTTTCTTTCATGGTGAAACCCACGAAGCCTTCGTTTCAGTAGCAGAAAGTAGAGAGCGGGTCGAGAATCCGATCCTTTTTTATCCAAACCAACAGCACCTGCGGCAATGTGATAACGGGCAGGCGTTGTTAATTACGTTTCTAACTTGTTGATCTTCATGGCTTCTGATTTTTAAAAGCAAGGAAATTCATCATCACCGTGTGTGTCTCCTCCGGTAGAAATGACAGGAGCTGGTCTTCTAAGTACTGCTCCAGTCACTAATAATCAAATACTTGCATTTTCCCGTAGCATTTCTTTTCCTCTTTTGTGGATAGAACCATCTCTTACGTTCAAAGAGCCTGCCTCTTCACAGCCGGGTAGATGTTTGCCCATAAAACACAGGCTAGAAAAACACAAATTTTCTTGCCATGAGTGAGATGGTACTGAGTGAGGGTATCTGGGCAGCTGACATTATTTTTAAAAAAACAACAACACACCAAGAAGACTAATTAAAGGTGCAGTAGTGGTACTCAACATCTATTGGATGCTTACAGTGTTCCGAGCCGGGCACCCCACGGTTGGCTTATATTTCCCCACTGAATTCTCAGAGTGAACCTAGGAGGCACACGCTGTGCCTTAATTTTACAGCGGGAGAAACAAGATGCAGCAAGGACTCACACTTTACCCACAGTTCCGTAGCACCTTGAGCACCAGGAAGGAAAAAAAAAAAAGCTGTGGAGCCAGGGAGGCGGGAAGCGTACGTAGCTCGCTGTGTTCAGCCTGCAGGGTGAAGCAGGAATCTGGAAGAGAGGAGAGAAAGCTGAGGCTTTCCTCCATCTTGAAACTTGTACCTGGCCTCCAGAATCCCTCCTGTCAGAGTTAGAAAATGCATTTACCTACACACTTAAACAGCCTCACCTGCTACACCCAGGGGCTACCGTTCCTTCTTCAGAAGGCTTATGCTGGACACACCTGTGATTCTAGCACTCTGGGAAGCTGAGGCAGGAGACTACACTTTTGAACCCAGGTTGGGCAGTTTAGCAACTGAGCAAGACCCTGGCTTACAATAAAATAAAATAAAAAACAATAAGCAAAAGGGCTGGAAGGATAGCTTTTTGTAAAGGCTCTGAGTTCAATCCCTAGTATTGCAAAAAGAAAAAAAAAAAAGATAAAAGACTGATAATGAAGACACTTTGCAAAGTGCTTCATCCCAGGGCAGCAAATTGAGTCAAATAAGCTGCCCAGCTCTCGTTTTGCCACGGGCCAGCTCTGCCTTCTGGGAGGTTCTGGCAGCACCTCAGAACCCCCTGGGGGAGTTAACCACGCCAAGGCCTGAGCTCTCACACACCAATCCCAGGAAAATCCATGGCCCCAACCCAGGCAGCCAGAGAGGAGAGCCCTGATCCCTGTTTTGGTTATTTGTTTTAGAGAGATCTCCTCTCTTTGGCACAGCCTTGCCCTAAGGGACTGTTCAGGTTGTGTTACAAATGCAGCTGGGTGGCTGCCTCTCCCACGGGCACAGCTCCTCCAGGACTGCCTTGTGGTCCACGAGCCTCCGCGGTCAGGAGGGGTCACTCGCTCCTTAGCTTCCTTCCTTTTCCTCCCAGACACAGACTGACGCAGGCAGTGTGGGTACCGGGCTGCACACTGAGTTCTGGGTTCCAGCCATGAGACCTTGGAAGAGTTAGCGTCTCTCCCAACTATGGGGAGCACTGACGCACCTGTCCCGATAATTCAAACCACGCTCCCTCCCTGAGCCCCATCTAGAATTGCCCAAACCAAAATAGATCATAGTGGATCAGTAACTCTAGCTATCAAAACTCCTCGCTTCTCCACTCCTCTCCTCCGAAGGCTGTGTGTTAAAAAAATCTGAAGCACAAGGTCCCTAGTTTGATCCCTCGTACCAAAAAAACAAAAACAAAAAAAACCTTTTCCTCCTTTCAAAAAAAAGAGAAAATCCATCCTTTGCTTGGATTAGTGACCTACTCTGGGGTAAGCATGCTTGGGATCTTAAGTTAGAAGCGCCCTGTTTTTTACCAGGCCCCGGAGGTCCGATCCCTCAGGGCCCTCCTGGTGCTGGTGCTGAGGAACTTCCAGTTTTCAGTACTGAAGATGGGATGTCACCCCAGATCCCAGTTTAGCAGTGATCCTGGATCTCAGAAGCAAAGCCATGTTAAGGGACTCTGCAGGTGCGGAGGGTACTGCATGCCAGAGAAGGGCAGCCCCTCCTGCCGCCTGACTGCTGTGAGCGGATTGTTTTTGCTTCATGGACTCGGTCTTCCTGGAGGGCTGTTCTCAGAAAGGGCATTTTTGTACAATGAAGACAAATTATGAATTCCGATTTCGCCACATACTTCTCAATGTGTTAGATTAGTTATTTCACCTTTCAGGTCCTCACTATCTTGGTTTTAAGCTAGGAATTATGATAGCTTCCTCTTGGATCTGTTGGGATGATTAGGAAAGACCCACAGCCTTCAGCATTTTTTAGTCTCAGGACTCTACAGTGGTGAGCCTTTTAGTGCTTTCTATCTATGAAGACAAATTATGAATTCCGATTTCGCCACATACTTCTCAATGTGTTAGATTAGTTATTTCACCTTTCAGGTCCTCACTATCTTGGTTTTAAGCTAGGAATTATGATAGCTTCCTCTTGGATCTGTTGGGATGATTAGGAAAGACCCACAGCCTTCAGCATTTTTAGTCTCAGGACTCTACAGTGGTGAGCCTTTTAGTGCTTTCTATTGTAACAGCCCACCTATTGTAGGTTCAGCACCACTGCCCTATACTGTTAAAAGTTGAGAACACAAAAACGAAAGAAAAAAAACCAAAAGTCAACAACCACAAAGAGCTTTTTGTTCATATGGGCTGAATCTCTTCATATTTGGCATGTCGAAGTTAGAACAGAAAAAAATGATCAAGAGTTTATTCATGTTTAAAATAACCACCATTACTGTTGACATCATACTTTTTAAAGAAGTATTTTCCAAAATAAAAGAATTAGTGAGAGTAGTGGTATTGTTTCATATTTTTTGCAAATCTCACTTGTGCCTAGATTTGTAGAAGACAACTGTATTCTCAGATGTGCTTCTGAATTCGTTGTGGGTGTCTTGGTTGAAGTATGTCGCCACCGTCTAGCTTTTCATAGATACATAATTGGAAAAGGATTTCAGTGACACCTTCAGCTGAGTGTGGATATTCTTTGATTCAGCATTAAAACTCATGAAGTGCAACTGTCCCGGACAGTAGTGTGAAGTCGTGTTGGTGAGCTCTATGTGCTCGGTTACATAATCTCACTTGTGCCTAGATTTGTAGAAGACAACTGTATTCTCAGATGTGCTTCTGAATTCGTTGTGGGTGTCTTGGTTGAAGTATGTCGCCACCGTCTAGCTTTTCATAGATACATAATTGGAAAAGGATTTCAGTGACACCTTCAGCTGAGTGTGGATATTCTTTGATTCAGCATTAAAACTCATGAAGTGCAACTGTCCCGGACAGTAGTGTGAAGTCATGTTGGTGAGCTCTGTGTGCTCGGTTACACTCAAACCCACTGGTGTGTTTGCCTTTTCAGCGACTCTTAGCCCTGCCTGGCTGTGAACCCATCGTCGTTGGTCATTTGGAAAACTTCGGTTCACTAAGTGGTGCAGATCTTCCCAACGTTGCCCCAGTTCATCAAACCATATTTAAAAACCACAATGGTTAATATTCTCAGTGGGCTCCTGGGACAGGCGTTGTACTGAGAAGCTGCCAAGCTCAGGGGCAGCTGTCTGTTTTCCAGAATTCTAAATTTTGCTTGAAAGCTCAGATTTTATCATTGGCAACAAACACTGTTTTCCAGGAAGTGACAAGCTTGCTTCATTCTTTAATATATCTGCCAAAAGCTGAAGTTTAACCACTGTTGTCTAAAGCTGTTCTTTGAGGTGTTAAGAAAATAAAAAGTAGCAGGTACAATTTATGATGCTAACAGTCACACAGGTGCCTCTCCACAGATGGCCATTGTACCTCTGTGGGGAGCAGAAATGCTCCCTGCTTTCTTCCCATTCCATCATAGTGTCAGAAAGACCTGTACTTAAGGTTGGAGCCGGGGCTGGTGGGGACTCACACCTGTAATCCCAGCACTAGAAGGCTGAGGCAGGAGGATGGTTGTGAGCACGAGACCAGTCAGGGCTACACAGTGAGTTCAAGACCACAGTGTGAGACCCTATCCCCCTGCCAACTTTGAGGTTTAATAGAAGTACCACTCATTATTGCCAACCTGAGATCTACCTCGAGAGCTAATAGACAATGAAAATGCTCGTAAAAGATGGCCAGCGCTGGGAAGTCAGCCTTGCCCCCCTGCCCTTGCTGGTGGCTGTGGATTCCATGCCGAGCGGGTGCTAATGAGGCCGGCCTTTGGCTGTTTTGATGAAATCCCACTAGAGTTCTTTCCTCCATCCCCAGAGCCCCAGTTGCTTTTTCTGTGCATGAGATGTTGCCTTGAGGCTGAAAAGAGGCCATGGTTTCTGGCCGACTCTTTACCGTGGGCTTCTGAGCAGGAAGACCTGTGTGATCGCTGCTTTTCCTGTGCTGCCGAACTAATAAGTGCATTGTAACCTGTAATCATTTCCTACGCCTTTAAGTAGGCATCTCACCGCTGGGTTCAGAGGCTCCTCGGTGGTCTGAGTTTCCGAGGTAGTTGCGTGTGGCTGATGTGTCCCTTCGCCGTTGTTTGGGGTGCACGCACCTCCTGACTTTGTCATCTGGCGGTACACGGAGCAGGCAGCCGACCCTCACCTCGTTCTTGTCACACTGCCCAATACCACGGAGGTGGGGTCGGCTCCCTCCAGTGGCACCTCAGTAGTTAGACCAGAAAGTTCCCGCGGCCCCGTCGGGGCCAGAACCATGGCGATGTGCAGACGAGAGTATTTGTGCCTCAACCCGAGGTGTGTTTTCCTCCCACACCATCTTCAGTTGCCAAAGCTGCCAGGCAGTCTGTGTAGCTCCCACAGTGACATCTTGTGATCGCTCTGCTGGGGTTCGTGGGAGGAGTGTGTTGACTGTCGCGCACTGACAAGCGGCAGTGGAGGACTGCAGGAGAAGATCCCTGTATCCGCATTAGAAGACGTCAGCCCACGGGTGCCCCTGCCCAGCGCCAGCTGGGCTGGTCTGCTCAGGAGGTGGCACAGGGAGGCCTGGTATCAGGATTGTGCCCCCTGCAGCCGTGGGAATGCCTCTCGTGGTGCCAGCCTGTCCCGGGAGAAGGAGAGCACAGGCGGCTGACCCTCGCTCCAGGAGACGGTGCCGCTGGGTCCTGTGTGGTGAGAGTTGGTGGCTTAAGCCCTGGGCCTCTCACACAGCAGAGCCTGACTGTTAGGAAGCAGCAGGTCCCAGTCCGCTGGGACACAGGGAAGGGAGACAGCAGTGAACAGCCCCAAATAGGTGACCCGGCACAGACGGGACCGGAGAAGCACACGGGGCGTGTTCACTGGCCAGAGCCAGCAGAACACGTGGAAGAACACGACTCTACTTGCTGGGTCACATTATGTTTGAATGCAGCTTTGGGGACCAGTGTAGGTGACGGCATGGTTGTTTATTTCAGTACTGCCACATGGTTTCATTTATTTCAGGGAGTGAAACTCAGGTGAGAATCTGACTTTCCCAAAACTGCTAAGAGCACAGGTGACCTGAGAGGCCATGGGTCCCAGGTCCGGGTCACTGGGTCAGAAAGCTCCCCTCCTGGCTTTGGACGGTGCACCATGCCGGTGGGTGTTGGTAATGTTGGCACATGCCCTCTACCTCCCTCCTCGGGGGCTGGACCCAGGCAGGGCTCCTTTGGGAAGATGGGGGAGAGAGGGTGAAAGGAATCCCTGTTCTGCCTTCTCAGTTGATGGCTTTTGTCCTTTGCATGATCTGTGCCCTGGGTCACATGTCCGCCTCTCCCACTACAGTGCCCTTTCTGTTTTTAAGGAAAGAAGGACTGTCGAAATGTGGAAGATGCAAGCAGGCATTTTACTGCAATGTGGAGTGTCAGGTAGGTGTGGGGCAGCTGGCAGGGAGGGCCCTCTTTCCTCTGAGGACCGGAGCTCTGCGTCTCCGTGTACCTGGGTGTTGTTCTACAGTTCCCTTCCACAGGCCGGGCTACCTGTGCATGCTGCCGGTACAGCATGCTGCCCAGGGGCAGGCAGTCACAGTGTGGGGTCTGGGCAGGACACAGGGGAGCCTCGTTGGGGCAGGCAGGTATATCGCCAAGGTCACCACTGTGTCCCCGAGATGGCCCAGGGCAGGTGGGGTTACAGAGGGCACAGATGGAAACCCTGCCCTGGGCTGTGGGAGGCCAGCTTGCTCGCAGCCTGAGCCCCGAGCCCCGGAATGGGTGGGCAAAGGTGATGGAGGCTTTGGGGAGCCCTCGGTGGGACTTCTGAGGGCCGAGGAATGGATGGTGTTTCCCATGCTGTGAGTCCCACCGAGTGCCAGAGGTGCTTTCCAGAAAATGCATTCTGTGGTCAGTGTAGGCGAGTGTGGTCTCTGTCCTTATTTTTTTGTGTCATTATATATATTGTATTTTGGAGTATTTCCTTATGCTCTTTTTCATTTGCCAGTGTGCTTTAGGAATTTCTAAGCCTTCTTATTTGACCTCTCTACCATTCCCAACTTATTTTTTGAAAGGGACTGTATTAATACACCCGGGGACGTGCCCATGCGGTTCAAGGGGGCTCACGTGGTGGGGAGGATTCTCTCCATGCTGCGTATCTGTGGTTTCTTCCTGTACCTGGTGACACCTCTTCCCCTTACCTCCAGCCCCACTTTCTCCCTCCTTGGGGTGACTCAGTTTTCTTTTTCCCTTCTCTCCTCCTGAGGCTGTCAGCCCTCAAAGGGCTGGAGAGCTTCACTTAGGGGTGGCCGAGATTACTAAGCCTGAAGCGGCCCGTGACACAGCTGCCATGCAGTGGCCTTGCCAGAGCGAAGGGTTTGGAGGGTGGCGAGGACTCCCTGGCATGGAGGTCAGGTGTCTGTCCCCACCTGGAGCGACAGTGGGCCCTGGGGAATGCACAGTCTGGCTGTTTAGACCTGCTCCTGCCTGGTGCTTTGGAGAGGTAAAGATCAGTAGATTCACGTACAGGTCACGACCTCACACAGGACGCAGGAAGACATGGCCACGTGGCAGAAGTCACTGGCCACATCGCGGTGCCCGTCTGATCTTGGTGAGTTGTAGGAACCCAGTGATAAGGCCAGAAGCAAGGGGCTGTTACAAATAACAGGACCGCAGTCCGCAGTGAGGCTGGGTGTGTATAATTCGGGCCAAAGTGAAGCTTTGCTTTATACGAGGAATAAGCAGCCTACTCCTGCCTTAAGGGGCTTGTTTTTTGAACCTAGGAGAAGGCTGGCTTCTAAGAGCTTTTTTATATAAATGGTGTACACTGGGCAAATAATGCGAGGTCCGCCTGGGCAACATACAAGACCTCGTCTAAAAACCCAAAACTAAGAAAAGCAAAATTAGCCTGAACTCCTCCAAGTGAGCAAGTAGTCTGTTGATGTAGGACCTCAATGTGCCGGCAGTTGCGTCTGGGCTCTGGGACACACCGCTGAGCTGTATTCCAGTAAGCCCTGCCAGGTGGCAATCTTGAGAGGAATCGTCATGTGCAGGTTGGGATTTGGTGGTATCTGTTCCAGTTCCCCAGGACCTGGTCTTCCAGATCTGCAGCCCGAGAAACCTCACATGGAGCTTGGGGGCTCGGACCCCTGGTGTGCGTGTGTGTGCCAGGGAGCCCGGGGTAGAGGAAGGGCTTGTGTAGTTTCCTGTCCAGAGGCAGCCCAGCAGAGGCAGAGAGTTTGCCCTTCTGTCTGCCAGGGACCTGGGCGGAGCCTCCCTGAGTGTGGGAGCTGGGCTGCTTCTCTCTGCTTCTCTTAGTGACCAGAGACCGGTCCTCCTGGGAGGAAGTGACCCCCAGCTCTGTAAGCCTGTTCCCCCTCGAGCTGCCAAGCTGGGTTTGACCTGCAAGAGGCCGTGAAGGTGTTTCCGTGGGATGGCGGGGGCTTCAGAGATTAGTAAAAGTGGGAGCCTAGAAATGCAGGACGGTCGGGGCTTCCTACCAGAGTTTTGGGGCGATGGCTCTGGATACACAGAAGGGAACATTGGGAGGGACTCGGGGCGGGGCCGTGCTAAGGGACCCCGTGTGGTGTAAAATAAGAGCAGGTCTTGCTAGTTGTTTCGAGATTTTAAAAAATACATAAGAGAGCTGAGGCTGTAGCAGAGTGTGAAGGCCCCGGGTTCCGTCTCCAGCAGTTCAAGAACAAAGCAGAAAGGACCAGGCGCCAGGAAGGGCTGGGAGGGGGCCGCACCACCTACCTGGGCTTCCTCGGAGCTCACGCCGAGTGCGCGCTGTGTTCCCTGCCACAGGGGCCAGAATGGTGAGAACGCAGTGCCTGGGCGGGCGGGGTGACCTTCCCAGGGCACCCGTGACAGGACTGGGTTAGGGTTAGGGTGCTGGGAGGGCCCAGGACGTGTCACGGAGGGAGGGGCCGGAAGGAGCCTGGACGCGGCTGGCGCCTAGGCCCGAACAGGCACAGGAGGATGCAGGCAAACACCCTTCCCGGTCCTTCCGGGACCCTGGTGCCTAGGGCTCCGCTGCGCCTTCTTGGGTCAACCTCGGTTACTCCCCTCCTGGCTCCCAGACTCAGCGGGACAGAACCAGAGGGAAGATTTTAATTGATCAGGCATGAGAAGGTAATGGGAGGAAATATAAAAGACATAGAAGTTTCTTTTTGTTCGGCTTATTTTGCAACCTGTATGTTTTAATGAATTATATTTATTTTTATAAATATGCTTAGAAAGCTAAATACACTCTTCACCCAGACTTCATTCCATTGTGGCACGACCCGGTCATGAGAATCATTTTGGGAAGTCTTTAGGATGACTACTGTGTGCAGAACCATCTGGTAGGTCTTTTTAAACCTTAAACGCAGAGAAAAAACTTTGTGTTTGAAGAGAGTGCTTTCAAAGTGGGAAGAGGCATGATGGAGACTGAACAAAGCTCCTGTGAGAAGTGAGAAAAGATGTGGAATGTTCTAGGCTTTTATTATTGATTGGAAAACAATGGAGAGTCTGGCGTGCTGTACAAACGGATGGGGTGGGGTCCTAGGCTCAGCCCTGCTTGACCGCACTGTGTCTCCTACGGGCAGGGGAGGCCTGGCCACTCTTGTATTTGTTTCTTTTCTAAGTGTTTACCATCAGCACAGGAAGAAATGTCAGTGGCTGCGATCTCAGTTTTATTGGAGAGACAAAGCAGACCCCGTGTCCCAGTGCGACTGCCACCTTCCTGTACTGTGACAGTCCCACCTGATCCCTCCCCACTCTTCCTCCAAGGGTGAGGGTGGCAGGGAGCAGGAGCCCTGTGACGCGTTCTTGCCATTCCACGTCAGAGAAATCACGCGTGGCACGTGCACGAGTGGGCTGTCTTTGTCTTGCAAGTTCCATTAGGGTGACGCCGGGAAACACCGATGGCTGCACATAGAGAAGACTTGGTCATTCACTCATGGAAAGCTGGAAGCCGTAAGAATCTTTTCCTCCAGCGCTGGCGATGCTGGTGCAGTTTTATGATTCTTTACGCATCTTTATGTTTACCCACGTGCAAACATGAAAGTCCTGTGCAACGCTTATTATCTTGGCTGAAAAAGAATGAGAAGTTTAAAAAGAGCACTGGTGTCCTAGCAAGTGCCACGTCCTAATTACATGTAGATTCTATTGCTTAACTTTACTACACCAGCAATCTGCATTCATTATAGAAAAATCAGAAGAAACAGCCCAAAAGAAGGGCAGAATGGGTGTCTGATCCTTTGAGAGGGAACTGCCACTAAGACACTCTCACGTATGCCTTCTGGAGTGCTTTCCGTCCACGTGTATGTATGCTATTTTTCTGGAAAACAGATCCTGGTTTACATAAAATTTTACATGGAAGGAGTAGTAGTAGACGGAACTTTGAAGAAAAAGAGTAGTTTTAGAAAAAAAAAAAGATTTTAGGAAAAATAACAAATGTTTTAAAAGCCATGAAGAGTTGGAAAATCGCTGCGTACAACAAAGCTGCTGGTAGTTTTGACAACTGGTTCCTTAGTGAAATTCACAAACCTCCCTCACCTGGTTAGCCCAGCTGGCAACTGAGCGGCGCCGTGTCTAACTGGAGGCTCTTTGGCCCCGTGGCTGACGTGGCATAAACAGCGTGGACCCCAGACTTCGTCTCCCCTCCCCGCCCGCCTCCTGAGTCAGGGGTACTTGTTGAATGACTGAATGAACCCCAAGATGAACCGTTGCCAGTGTTTGTCCAGAGGGCCCCGTGTGCCAGGCCCTGTGCCAAGTGTGTCTCCTGGGTTCCTGCACGGAGTCCTTGAAAGGACCTTCATGCCATGTAGTGAAGGTCTGGTGTGGGCTGGAGTCTGACTGTCACCTGTCACTGCTGGAAGGTGTAGAATCACAGGCTCGGCGGCAGTCCGGACCTGTTAGGTAAAGAGGGATCATGTTCTTTACAGCCGGGGAGATGGTGCTGGGGGATTAAGTGGTACTTCTGCTAACGTCAGTTTCAGATTCATTGTTCTAGTAGTTATGATATGAACAAACTATGTCAGGAAATGTCCTTTAACTTCTTTCTCCTGGAAGTTCCCTGGCATTGGCAAATCCTCAATGACTCACCCCCGACAGTTCAGAAAACCAACAGCAAAAAGCCCAGCAAAGACACAGCTCCTCCCTGGGACCTGGCAGCAGGTGCCTAGCTGGGTCCTTGGTTGCCCCATGGTCCCCTTTTCTCTGGGACCCAGAGGTCTCCTTGTCCCTGGTGGGCAGGGAGCGTGGCCACCTGTTGTAGCTCCATGCCTGGTCCATGTGCCCTCCTTGGAGGCTTTGGCTGAAAACAGGTCGCCTGCTTCCCTGGGCATCTCCCTCCGTGTGCCCAGTTATATTTGGCATGGTGTTATTTAACCATCCGGAACTTCTTGGCATAGAACTTGAACCTGGGGCTGTGCCAGATCCTGCCCCAAATCGCTGAGCGGTGCCGCATCCTTCCTCCTGGGGCTGGGTGGGGCCGGGCAGCGAGGCAGCTCCATGGCCTCTACTGCTGGCTGCTTCAGTGCCTGGGACATCAGCATAGGTCCAGGTCCTGCGGTTACGGCTGTGAGCAGAGCACACACACAGTTCCTCTGCTTCAAGGGTGGAGAAGATCCTGCACCGCAGGGCAGGGCTCTCCAGTGGGATGCACGGGGCAGGTGCCTGGAGAGAGTGTGGGAGAGGGTGGGGGTGCAGTAGGAGGGGACCCCATTCCCCCTGGCCCTGCAGGTTGCTGTTGTCCTTTAGCCTCCTGAGCTGAGAACCGGCAGGAGCTTCGTTCTGTGGACTTCTAGTGAAGGCAAGGGCAAGGACGTCATTGCAGGACCTGGGGGTGCACAGGTGGGGTGGCCGGGAGGGCAGGGGCGGGGCTGCTAGGAGCTGCCTGCAGGGTGTGGGACCCTCGTGCTCAGGGTGGCCCAGGACTCTGGCCTGACATCTGAGGTTGCCCAGGCCAGTTCTGAACAGGAGAGGCTGAGGGCCAGCAGGACAGTGCCTGGGGGCTCCATCCACACCCAGACCCCCTCCTCTCCACCCCTCCACCTTCTCCTCCTCCTGCTCCCCACAGCCTCGCCCCACGCCGCTCGCCCAGCCTGGCTTCAGTCACAGTCAGCAGTGGCCTCCGCTGCCACATCTGTGCTGGGTCAGCTCACGCCGTACCTGTCACTGGCCTATCACCACGTTAGTCCCCGGTCCTCAGAGTATGGCAGAGCCCATCCCAGGGGAAGCAGCTCAACCCTGCAGGACCAGAGCCCCCCCAACACACACACGCAAGACCCACCCCAGAGGAAGCCGTTCCTTTTAATCGCACAAACCCCGGAAGTCTGTGTCTGCTGTGCCCAGCAGCTGCCCTCCCAGACTAAGGGCCTTTGCCAAGCCCTAGAGCTGTTGATGAGAAAGACCACCTACAGAAGAAGGGTGCCTGTGGCTGCGCGTCAGTGGGAGAACCGAGCTGGAACGGGAGTGTAGGGCCCAGTGTCGTGGCAGTGGCCGGTCCCCAGGTCACCCGGCAGAATGAGGGGCTGCAGAGAGACGGGAGAGAGGTGCTTGGCAAGTTCTCTCCTCCCAGTGACCTTGGCCGGGCCTCACTTCTTCCCATGTTTGAGCACATCCTGCACTTTCCGGAGATGCCTTTCACCTCACCCAGCTGGGGCACGTAGCGCTGCCTTCTTATGTCTTATCCCACTCTGTGTTTGTCTGTGTTTTAGTAATTAAAAAAAAATCTCCCCAGAAAGAAGACTGGTCCATGCACAAGCTGGAATGTTCTCCCATGGTTGTCTTTGGGGAAAACTGGGCTCCCTCGGAGACTGTACGGCTGACAGCAAGGATTCTTGCCAAACAGGTGAGGAAATAGGACCACGCTTAAGTGCATTTTATTTTTTATTTTTTTCTTAAATTACAGAAAATGAGTATCTGACCTGTAGGTCTTGCTGCACATTTTGGACTGCATTTCCAGTCACAGCAGTGTGGACGGGATGGAGAAATGCTCCAGGCGGAACCTGGTTTGTGGTGTGCACTGTGCAGTTAAGGTATTGCTCCCTCGGCCCAGGCCCACAGCCCTGGTTGTGACCCCAGGCTTCTTCTGAGTCAGGTTTTCACAGAAGAATGGCGTGAAAAACCCGAGTGAAAGGACCTAGAGCTTCCCAGGGAGCCTGGCCATTCTGGGAAGCTTTGAGGTTTTCCCTCTTTCCTTCCTGACACAGCGGGTGCACCTGTCCGCCTTCCTCGGGTGCCCCAGGCATTATTCTGCTCATCTGGGTCTCCGTGCATTCTTGCTGGTGAAGAGACAGGCAAGGAATTGGAAGGAAGAGCCAGGATGCTGGCTGGTGCAAAGAGAAAATGGAAAAGTGGAAACCGAGGCCAGAGGGGAGCAGAGAAGAAGGGAAGAGAAGGACAGCAAGAGCTGCCCTCCGCAAAAACAGATGACACCAGAGATGGTGCAGGACTGAGACTGTTGCCCCTCCTCGATGGGTCCCTCCTGATTGCAAAATAACTGGACCCCTTGTTCCCAGAGGCTGGAAATCAGAGTGGAAGAAGATGCCCTAGGAGGCGAACCTGTGGCACGCGTGCTGCAGCAGGCACAGAGAGCCCCCTCTGTCAGCACAGGAGCCAGCAATGGAGCTTCAGATAGCAGTTGTTTTTGGCTAAACTACAATCTCAGTATTCAGGTTTAATTGCAGCATTGGCACTTGGTGATCACTGAGTGGGATTGGGGTTGCAGTTTGGGCACTCGGCTCTAAAAGGTTCGCCATCCCTGCCCTAGGACATGGCCTTGGGCCCCTTTCAATCTCCGTGCTGGTAGAGAAATTGGTGGCCAGGCCTCTTTTCACGCGGAATATCCATTCACTCCCTTCCCATCCCCACCCCCTTTTTCTTTTAAGTCTAAGCTCAGTGTGATTGTAAGGACTTGCAGGTGTCTGTGTAGACCAAATTAAGGTGCTAGAGTTATAAACAGAAGTAGAACATTTCTGTGCCCTGCGGTTATTGCTCTGCTGGGCTCAGGTAGGATCAGATGCTGCATAAAGACCTGGCCCCCTGCTCAGAAGCACGACAGCCACTCGAGGGCAGCAAGACTGGAAAATGCACATGGTTTCTGCGTCCTCAGTAACTGTTGCCTTCCGGGATATGCAGAGTAGCCGGCTGCGTAGAGGGCTGCACAGAAAAAGCCCACAGGAAGCGGGGCGCCAGGGCTGCTGTCAGGGAGCACCGCCATGGTGTCTGTGGATGGGGAGTCCAGCCTTCCGGGTCCTCTCCTACTGCCCGACTTCCTGGGGTGTCTCTGGCGTTGTGTCAGGATTTCAGAAGAAGCTGGCTACTTCCCGAATCCGCCATCTTCCCAGGCAGGATGACTTATTAATCTTAACAGAAGCGCGTCCTGTGAATGGAAAATTTCCGCTCCCAGAAAGAACGGTTGAAATGTTTTGACACCAGGCGGATCTCCCTGAATACTGTTATGAATTTACACTCGTCTCATTCACGTTTTCTTCTAATTACTACTACTACTAATAGTCTATGAAATGAAAAGTTACCTGACCATCTTTTCATCCCGATAGGACTCAGATGATTAAAAAACCAAACCATTTGTATTCTAGTAGCTTGCAAAGGATTGGGGGAGACAGGCCACCCCACTGCCAAGGGGAAGCCTAACATGTTAACTAGGGAGGTGAGTGCACCCAGCGAGACCACCTGTATCCCCAAATTGAATAGCCAGGTGACAAAGCCGGGGCCTCGGGCCAGCTCCTGCGCGCTGCCTTTGAACTCTTGTCAACACCAAGTTTATTCATGTTCTCAAAGCCTGGCGGGTTTACTATTGTTCACTCCTCTTGGGGCGTCTAGAACAAAGCCCGCACCACGTTTCAAGTGAATCTGGGCTCGCAGATACAACCAAAAGTGCTCTTTTTGAAACACAGAATTTGAGATCATTTTAGCCTATGCTTAAAGAAAGTGTAAAATGCACAGGGGGTTGGATTTTGTTCCTTTTTAGCAGGAGAAATAATAAATAGGATGGTTCATCTGTAGACCCCATCCTTTTAAGTGAGGACCCTAAAAACTTGTTTTCCGGCCCAGTTCTTGCTGGTAACGAGCATTTCTGAGCCCACTGTGTGTGGTAGTCTCGGGGTGTCAGGGATGCAGTGGGTTCTTTCTCAGTACTTCACTTCCTTGAAAACTGTTGCTTTTTCCTCTCATTGATATTTAGGTGAAAGCACTGCTTTCCACACCGGTTGTTAATGTCTGTATCTGTGTGACTTCTTCCCCAATTACCAGAAAACCCACCCAGAGAGAACACCTTCTGAGAAATTGTTAGCCGTCAAGGAATTTGAGTCACGTAAGTTCTTTGTGTGGTGGGCCAGGCTGTTATTTTAGCCACAGATTTACTGTGGTTGAGATAGGATGGAGGAAAGGAAGGGGTAAGCCATTTCCTTCGTAGGGATGGTGATTTTTTTAATTATTAGTTTTATTTTGACTTTGCTGCTTTGAGAAATGCCTTGCACTTTCCCCGGGTTGACACGTTCATTAGCACATAGTAATGGTGAGTGGGCTGGGGATTGAGCCCAGTGCTTCCAATGCCTGCCTCATGAGTCCTGCAAGGTCCTGAGTTTGATCCCTGGTACCCCCAAAAGGAAATAGTAAGGGGACAGCCGTGGCCTGCGGAGTCCCCATTTCCAGATCTTTGCTGAACAGCATTCCTGTAAGAGGCGCTAAATCAGGGTGCTTGACAGTGAAGAAGCCGGGGCCCACTGGGTCCCCGAGCAGACAGTGGCCGCTGATCGGTCCCCTGCCCTCACTGCCGGTGGTCAGCAGCGAGGTGTGTCCCCAGTGACCTCGGTGGGAGGAGAACAGGGTCCGCCTGTTAGAGGGGCCAGGGAAAGTGTTCTCCAGGGGTGGGCACCGCAGCTCTTCCCCCGCCGGTGAGGGGCTTCCCCAGCCAAGCCGGGCCGTGTCCCCAGATCTGGACAAGCTGGACAACGAGAAGAGGGACTTGATTCAGAGCGACATCGCCACGCTGCACCAGTTCTACTCCAAGCACCTCGGGCTCCCCGACCACGACAGCCTGGTGGTGCTGTTCGCGCAGGTGAGACGCGGCGCTGGGACCCCGACCCGGGCGGACCGGGGTCTTCTCTGACGGAAAGCGGCCCGGTCCGGCTCGGGGTCTCTCTGCTACCACAGCTGTGCTGGGAAGAGGGGACACCGACTGCCCCAGGAGAGGGAGCCGCACGGAATGCAGCGGCGGGGTGTACTGGAGAGGCTAAGGTTCCCCCAAGGCAGAGATGATAGAAGATGAGAGAGGTTTCTTAAAACAGCAGCCCGAAGTGCCTAGCAGACGAGGCAAGGCCACCCGCAGGGCCGAGGCCGGGCCCAGGTCTCCTGCTCCAGACTGGGCGTCTGAGCTTCCCAGAGGCGAGGACCCCAGTGCGGCTGGGGCGGAAACGCTGCGTGCCCCAGACCAGTCCGTGTCAGATGCTCCGGCCTTGCTCGTTCTGTCTCGGGGGATTGTGCTGTGCCCGCGGAGCCTGCGACCCCGTAGTTCCATTTCCGGGAATCTGTCTGTAGGAAATAAGCAGCGCCAAGGAGCAGAGTCACGTGCAGATTGTTTATTATAGGGTTCTCTTCAAAGCAGGAGAGAGAGAGGGACGGAGGAAGGGAAGAGGGGAAAACGACATGTTGTAAATGGCCGGCAGTCGGCGTTTGCTTAAATGAAGTGTAGCAGAGCCATGCGACCGAAGGTTATGTAGGGGCCAGGATGTAGCTCAGTGGTGCGGCCACCTGCCTCGTAAGCGCAGGGTCCCGAGTTTGATCCCCAGTACCAAAATGGAAAAGTAGGTTATGTATGTAATGTAAACCTTTCTGTTTCAAAGACTTCTCCCTGAAGACGTGGGGAAATAACGATTAGGTACAGAAGCAGGGTGAAAAGTGTGTGTGAAATGAAAACATAACATACTTAAAGATTGCTTGAAAGTTCACAGTTGCTTTCTTCTAAATTGTGGAAAATGTTTGTTTTCACTGTGTGATTTTGCTGGATTTTCTACTATGAACAATGTGTAATTTTTTAATCACCTTTTTTTTTGTACCTGGGATCGAACTCAGGTCCTTGTGCTTGCAAGGCAGGTGGTGGAACCACTGAGCCAAATCCCTGGCACAATGTGTAACTTTTTAAAAATTCTAGGAAAAAAAAACTAGTAGAAAAGCACATGCTTTAAAAATCACACAAACAGGAAAGAGGAGACTGCCGCTCGGTCCCCCGGAGGACCCCACTTTGCCAGCTCAGTGGATTCCTCTGTAGCGTCCTTGTTTGTGGGGATACATTTCAGCTGTGAAAGTTGCAATCAGGGGAAAAAAGCTCTTCCTTCTAAAAGGATAATGGGCCCAAGTTACGAACGTGAAGGCAGAAGGAATGAAAAACCTTCCTGCTTTTCATGTTATCCTAGATGTGCAGCATATTTTCCTAAGCACCCTAAAATGATAGATGTAGGCAACACAGCAAAGTTGAAGAATCAATTTTCTTAATATTTTTAAGAAGCTAGTTACGTGCTTTCTTTTTCCTGGTTGAGACATGAGCAGTGAAATAAATATTCTTCTTTTTCTTCTTCGTCTTCCCTTTTCCTCCTCCTTTCCCTTGCCTTCTTCCTTTTTCTCCTCTCTCTTCTTCTTCCTCTTCGTCCTCCTCCCTCTTCTTCCCCTTTTTTAATTTTTCTAGGGTTTGCACTCAGGGCCCCATGCATGCCCCACAGTCACGCTACCACTGCATTACATCCTCACCCCTTTTTAACATTTTTTGAGACATGGTCTTGTTAAGTTCCCCAGCCTGGCCTCGAATTTGTGATCCTCCTGCCTCCCCACCACGCTTGGCAAAAGGATCTTCTCTTAAGCTATGAAAAAGATACTTTCCCTTCTACCATAGTAATACACGTAGACAGGACTTCGTGTCGATGTGGGGTTGTGTTTTGTAACAAAATTCAAGACAGGTCACACAACTGCAGGTAGGTGTCTTTGTGATGGAAGTGAGCCACTCTTTGAAGTGTGGACTTACTCAGAAAAGCTGGCTCATTTTTGTGCCTAAGAGAAGAATGCACAAACTGTAGACAGTTGGTTCCTTGACAGACTTGATGTTCATCAAATCACCGTGTACATTCCATGACTGGGGTCGGACACCGCCCACACATGCATCACTTTTTAATGTAAATTTGAAAAGGGGGTCAGTATCCCGAGCAGAGGAAAACGGGGCTCTTGCACTCTTGCCCTAGGTCGGGCCTCTCAGCGTGAGACCTCCTGGTCCACAGAGGCCACAGCCACCATGCTCCATCCACAGTGCTGAGGTGCATTCTGATTACCAGATGCTTGTGCGGTGGGAAGCTATTTTTGGTGTGCAGCCTACAGCTAGTCTAAATGCTAATGATAAGAATAGCTTTCACAAGGCTCTCACGCCTGATTGGCTTGAAAGAAAAAAGGACTGTGGCCCATGCACCTTCCTTATGTGCAAGTTTGCTTTTCTTCTCCAGGCAGGGCTCCGAAGGGAGGGCAAGCAGGCGGGAGAGAAACAGTACTTACAGGAAGGAGCCTTCACTTACAGGGAGAAAGGGAGGCCGTGGGGGGGATGCTGGTTGGAGCAGGCTCCGGCCTGAAGTACTCAAGTCAGGGACGGGTCTGGGCGCTCACACAGAGAGGGGGTCTCTGAAGCCAAGGAGCGAGAATCCAGCACACATGGCGGCCTTCTGTCCTAGCTTTCTTCTGTTCAGTGTTGCTAAAGTCTCATCCACGCCCTCATTCATTTGGCACACGCTTAGACGTGTGGGTGTGGAACGCTGCTGAGGCACATTGGTGTCCAGTGTGGGATTTCATGTGGGTCATTCCAAACCTGGCCACTAAAGTGAGGACCCACAACTCATACTGTCATCAATTTGGTTGAATGAATGAAAATCCGAATTTACTCCTATCCAGCGTTGTGTGGCCATTGCTTAATGTCCCAGTGACAGAAATGGTCAGGATATTTGGAATTGGTACAAAAGTTGGTTTACTAAATCTTCTTAGAAACACCCAACCCTGGGGATTTCAAAGGCTGGCTATTGTTGTAGCCTCCCGTTACAGATAGCGCATGTAGCCCCTGTTTCTGTAGGTCCCAAGGTTCCCCGGCCCTCGCCAATGTCCTTTAGGTAAAATTGTCCCATTAACACTTAGTAGACACAGCCAGTTTTAGAAGAAACGCGGTTCTGTGTGAAGAAGCCAGGCTCTGCTGTCGGAAGGCCCGCGGGGATTCTGACTCGTGTTCTGCAGTCTGCTTTCACACATGCCATGCAGGCCACTTAGCCACCTCCCGGCCTCACTTTCCACATCTGCAGGATGGGCTGTTACGGTAACGCTGGGGCCATTGTGGGTGGATGAGTTTTTGGCAGCAACATCTGGCCAGCGCCTGGCCTGGTGAGCGCTGATGCCAAGTGTGGCGTCCTCTGCTGTAGGAGGCAGCAGGTGGCCTCACCAGCATCCAGCTGTGTGGCGCCTGGTGCATGGAGGAGCGCCCACTGCAGTGTCTCCGGGAGCTGTGCCTGCACCCTGGGCCTCTCGGTCAGTTCCTGCGACAGAACACGGAAGCCGGCTTGGGTCGGCCTCGTGTTCAGTCTGCTCCCTCCAACTTCCGCCCCAGAATGCGACAGTCTCCCTGGGCATTTTCCAACGCATTCCTTTGCTGGAAAGGATGAGGAAGCAGCTAAGACATGAAAGGCCCCAGCTCCTGGCTCCGGGGCCTCCATCCCTCTGCACCTCAGAGGGAGGGACAGCAATTAGAGAAGATGAATGAGGTTTGCTGAGCCTCCAGCCTCACCCTGACAAGGGCATTGGGTTCAGTGGCTCCTGTTTCAGGGCCCCGGACCTTGAGGGTCACACAGGGAACTGGGCGCAATGGGGGTTGGACTCCAAGTGTCCTGACCCCTGGTACCCTGATGGCACGGGCATGCGCACCCCAAGGTCCTAAGAGCCTTGGGGGGCCTGGGGGGGCCCTAGGCTTGTGTATGGCTGGTTGTGCAAGGAGGCGCTGTGGCCTCAGGTTGTTGGGCTGATGAGGAAATTTTGTTTGAACAAAGGACCTTGTGGCCCAAAGAAAAGGTTTTGAAACCACCAAACCGGAACATCTTCCTAGTTAACTTGTTAAAGGTCACAATTAAAGAAATGATCTCTACCCGGGAAAGCTAAAGCTTGCCTTTCTCTCTGTCTCCCGTCTCCCTGCAGGTTAACTGTAATGGCTTCACGATTGAAGATGAAGAACTTTCCCATTTGGGATCAGCGATATTTCCTGAGTAGGTTGAGTCTGACTCCGTTTCTTTTCTTTGTGCTTATTTAACACTAATTTGATTTTTTTTTTTTTTGATTTTTACATAACCCACCGAACGGCATGGGGCAGGCATGAAACTCCAAGTGAATTAAGACAGCTTTTTAATCTGCCACATTTCAAAATATTTCCCCTACACTTAAAGATCCAAAGGTAGTAGTTAGGGAAGAGTTGCTTGTTACATCCTGCTAGGCAGAGAGCTGTTATTAAAGAATATTGTATGGCACAAGTAGAAGGAGCAGCCCATGCCCTGCTGTGAAATTTGCTTTCTGTATGTCTGTAGTTCTGGACATCTTAGGGTTTCTTGTGCCAAACTGAACATTAATCACTAAGCAAGAATCAGCTGTAGCCTTGGATAGCGAACATGATAAGAAAACAGTGTAGTTTGGTGTGAGACCATGCTAAACTTGTGAGCTAAGAAAAAATTTCAAAGACCTGTCCCGTTTTTCTCTCTACTTTAGGAACGTTCACCAAATTTGCAAAAAGCTACCCAACTGCAGTTGCAGAATGGAGTTTTGTTTGTTTTCCCCCCTCCCCCGTCCGTGGAGCATTTGTGGAGCGAGGGTATTTATTTTTAAGAGAATGAGATTGTTGGGTAAGGTACAGAACTCACAGGTCTCTGTTGCTGGTCCCTGAAAGACAACGGAAACCTGAGAGTAGCAGAGTTGGCCTCGCCCTCTGCCACCATCCGAGGGACCCCAGCACCCCAAGGGTACAAGCTGCCTTCGGTGCCAGCCACAGTGCAGTCCCTGCCTTCCCGGCTCAGCCAGGAGTCTGGTAGAACCAGGAATGAGCTGTGCTCTGCCAGACAGCGGAGAAATGCGCTTTTCCTGGGTCTGACCCATCCCTGCCTGTCAGGAAGCTGGGTGGGCTGACTCTGTCCTTTCCCTCCATCCCCAGTCTGGACTCGCTGCTCGATGGTCCTGCTCGGCCATCCTCTACCTCACATAGACCTCCAGCCCCGAGAAGGGTCCACCTGTCTTTGCAGCTCCTGTTCTGCGTGTTCTTGGGGTGACCCAGAGAGGGTTCCAGTCTCCGAAGGGCCCTCAGAGCAGGGATTCAGGCAGGTGTGCGTGTCCGCAGGAGCATGAGCCCCAGTACCCGGGCATCTTTAATTGGGGGAAAAAGCCCCTGGGCTGAAATCATACTGGCCTTGTGATTTCAAAGGCAGCATTTTCTCCCTGTAGTTTAGAAATTTCCGTTCTCAGAACTTTGACATAATCAGAAAGCTCAAAGCCCCGGTGTAAGCCAGTCTCTCTGCTCCTCACTGTCCCCAGAAAGCAGACAGCCGAGCCCCAGCAGCAGCGCTGTCCCAGTTTTCCCTACGGGGAATCTGAGGTGCAGAGACACAGAGGGGCTTCCCGGGCCCACACCTTGGCTCAGTGTCTGGAGAATCGGCCCTGGCGATCCACTTAGACAGAAGCAGCCTGCACTGGGCACCTCGGCTGTCCTCACCCTGTGCAGGAGTCACAGAGCTGAGAGGCCTGCGCCTGCCAGGAAGGAACATTTCTGGCATGTGTCATCTTGATTGTCGCTTTCGGCTTGGCCATCACTGCTTTGAGTTTCGGAGTTCACTTGTTAATGCAGTTGAAGTGTGAGGAGTTAGACGTTGCAGTTGTGCAGGAACATCTGGGCTGGCGAGATCCCGGCGATGTTTCTGATCGGCCTGCGGGGCACGGTGATCCCGGCACCAAGGGCCCCCGACTTCTCTCTGTCTGACAGCGTAGCGCTGATGAATCACAGCTGCTGCCCCAACGTCATCGTGACCTACAGGGGGACCCTGGCGGAAGTGAGGGCAGTGCAGGAGATCCACCCCGGGGAAGAGGTGAGCAAGGGCCCAGCGCCGGCCGCGGCCCTCGGACGCTTCTGCTGGGTGCCGCGGTCTCTTCCTCTGATCGAGGAGCAACAGTCCAGATAAACTGGAGCTCAGCGGTCAGCAGACATGTGGAGAGAAAGGGGACGCCCCCGTGGCCAGGTGGACTCCGCGACTCGGAGTCTGTTTCCCGTCGTCATTTAGGGGACCCCAACCCAAGCCCAGAGCATCGTTACGGAAAGACGTCCCGCTACCCGTCCCTGGGAGTCTGGGACGACGTCTGTGTGCGAGACGGGAAGGCGAGGCAGGCTATGGGCAGGAGGCGGCACCTGTCCCGCCCTCACGCGGGACCAAGGTGACACCAGGTGCCTCGTCCCTCTCCCTGCTGCGCCTCTCGGTTGCCTTGCAGACCTTGCAGTGGATCCCTCGGGCACCTTAGGCTCAGTCCCTGTCTAACCTGCAGTGCTGTGTCTCTTACATTGCATGTCCGGATGTATTTTGAATCTCGGACCCAACATGGCTGTACTGTGAGCCTCTGAGTGGATTCCTCTGGGGGCGCTAAGGGGTCCCTAGCTGAACGGCCCTGAAGTCCGATGTCCAGGTTGCCCTCCCTTCCCCTGTCAGGGCCACCGCGAGGAGGGTCCCACGGGCAGGCCGTCTGCATCTCCAGTGCCCTAGGGGTTTCCCAGTGTCGCCAGCCACTGTCTGTTAAAACGTGATCGCAGTCCCCTGGAATAAATTGTCCACCACGCTGGTGAGGCTGGTGAGAGGAAAGCCGCTCACTGGAGCCTGGGCCGGGACACTGGGCTGGCCTTTGTCGCCATCTGGTGGACGCTTGTGTTCACTGCTCCGCGTCCGAGGAAGTCGGGGACGCGGGGCTGGGCTGCCCCACCCGGGGCGCCTGTCCTCTGGCCTCGGTCCGGGAGAGCCTGGCCCTTCTCCGCAGGCGCCGGGGCTGGGGCAGCAAAGCAGGGACAGGAGGACGAGGCCCCCAACGGTGACCCTGGCCCCCGCCCCGTCCTCGGCGCCGGCTCAGGAGTGCGCCCCGCCTCCTCCGCAGGTGTTCACCAGCTACATCGACCTCCTGTACCCCACGGACGACCGCAACGACCGCCTGCGGGACGCCTACTTCTTCACCTGCGGCTGCCCGGAGTGCAGCACCCGGGACAAGGTGAGCGGCCGGGCCGTCCGAGCGGGGCGCAGGGAG